TTTCTTTTTAAATCAATATTGGAGCTGAACTACTTAGACTCAGTCCCTAACAGCGTATGTGTATTTGACAGATTTTCTTTTATGTTCGGCTGCTGGCTAGTAGTTGAATCCCAAGGCTGCTGAAAATCGTTTTTAGAACTAAGAATGGCAACCATTTCTCAGAGGTTGATTGTGTACCATTAACTATACTAAGGGCTCTACTCATATCGTCCCAATTGATTCTCATGACATTCTTAAGAGTTACCTAATATTATCCCCACCTTACAGATCAGAAAACTGAGGCTCCCAAAAGATGAAGTTACTAGCCTGTTACCACTCCCCTCCTAAGTGAGGAGAAGAAGCCAGGTCTGTCTGATTCCTAAGCCCAGGGTCTTTCTGTACCACTCTACTGCTCTAACCTACACATAACCTACACAGATTTCTTAGGACAAGATAAATTTTATTTTATTTTTTTAATTATTATTATTATTATTGCGGTACGCGGGCCTCTCACTGTTGCGGCCTCTCCCGCCGCGGAGCACAGGCTCCGGACGCGCAGGCCCAGCGGCCATGGCTCACGGGCCCAGCCGCTCCGCGGCACGTGGGATCCTCCCGGACCGGGGCACGAGCCCGCGTCCCCTGCATCGGCAGGCGGACTCCCAACCACTGTGCCACCAGGGAAGCCCCAAGATAAATGTTAGATAAATGACCGTGACCTTAATGTTCTGTCACTAGTGAAGGGGTATACAACCACTTAGACAAAATGCACTGGAATTATAGGAAACCTTGGTACACTGACAACTAAGCTGACTGCCCCAAACCGTAGTCCATATTCAGACCAGTCTCTCACTTCCCAGTGAGAGGTTGGGATGGATGGGAAGAAGGAAGAGGAAGTGCCTCTGTGTCCCCGGAGAGGGAATCTCTGCTGCTCCACAGGCCTTTGTGTTGTGTCCAGTGGACTAGAGGAGAGCATGGGGATTCATTGAGCAGAGATTTAGTGTAAAGGGAAGAGTATTTTATGTTTTTAATCAACCAAGCCCTGAGCTAAATATTTATGCCAAGAGAAGCTGAGTCCCCCATGGAGAGACCTTTCCAATGGCGCTTAAACTGTTCTGCTGCAGTATTTTATCATGTCTTTGTTGGGGCAGAAAAATTTTCCCTTTTCCTGGCCCTACATCTTCTAAATCAAACTCGACCCTCCCCCCAGCTTCCAACAGGACAATAGAAATGTGAAATGTTCAACCTCAATAAAACGTCAGAAATGATCATCATTTAGCTATTTTCATCATTGAAAAGTCTATATTCCTGAAAACTGGCCTCTAATTTCTGTCTGTATAATCCAAGGGAGTGATTGAGGAGTGAGAGGCTAGTCTGAAAGCTAATATATCTCCATTTTTTTCTAATTCCTTACTATGTAATGTTTTCTTCTTTTAGTTTATCTTGTAAGTATTCTTGCTGATTATGTCTCGGTAAGACACGGTTATGTTACTTGGGAGGATTTAGGGAACAGCCTCCATCGTCAACATTTTTCCTTCTAAAATCTCCGTATGTCCGTGCATACATGCACACACAGTTCAGTCATTGTGCAGCTTTTACAAATAATTGTAGTCAAAATACGTCTTTCATATTGCTAGCTCAGTTGTTCATCCTTTACTCATTGGAACCGGTGACGATTTGGACAGGGACTAAATTAAAGCTCACCCCTGACCTTAGTTGCAGCCAGAGGAAGACAAGTGTCTGCTAAATAAACAAAAACCTTGATCAATACTATGCAGTGATGGAGGAAAGGGAGAGGTTGTAACCACATAAAGTGAGCACTTTTGGAAGCAAAAAGTGTTTCAATTAAAATGCTAATCCTAAACCTCACCAAGGTAAATCTGCTTAAGGGACACCAGACCGAATTTCTTTACGATGGAAAATTACGATGGAAAAAAGAAAGTGTTCTCAAACGGGCAAAGGAAAACTCCATCTGGAAAAGGAGAGAATGAGAAAGCCCCGCAGCTCCAGGCCCACATGCCCTCATCTCCAGTTAAGCCCCCACAAAGTGAAAGTTCCCTCTCTACAGCACAAAGCTGGCCCAGTCCCTCCGGGATTGAGAACCTGTAGGGCCTCAGTTTCCTAAGCACCCCTTGGCCCAGACTCTACCAGAGCATCCATCCTGCAGCCCCCGGGACCTGCCACACGTCCACTGTGACCTCTACTTGTCTTTCACTGCTTAGCCCCTCCCCGCACTCACTGAGCACTTGGTACCCGCCCATATCCTTGTACTTCTCAGACTAGATTAGTTCAACATCTGTCAGTGTATCTTACTTATGTCTCCATATCTAGTCTGTCCATCTTTAGGACAGGAGCCAGGTTATATTCCTCATTCCTTTCATCCTTTCCCTCATCCATCTCTCTCTCTCCTATTTGATTATCTCTTGGTACATGGTAGTTGCTCCATCAATCAGTAATTAATTTAATTACAGAATTCATTTCCCCAGGTGCAGACAGATCGCCTCAGAATGCTGAAAGCATCTGTAGACGTGATCAATCAGTAATGGTGGAGAAACTTTGTCAATCTGGAGAGGTGCTAAAATGCAGTCAAGGAAATGCCAACTTTCAAAAATATCTTTTTAAAAAGTAGTCTCCAAAAAGCATAGGCTGGTGAAATGATGATTGCCAAAATTCTGGAGCAGGTTACTCAACAGGTGATATGTGAAGATTTAGAGAATATTATGATCTGTGTAACCCAACATGAGTTCCCCAGCATCAAGCTATACCAAGCTAACCGTATTTCTTTTTTCTGAGATTAGTGAAAAACGGGTACTAGAGGCCAGAGATTTGTAACCCAGTGGCGTGTTCTGTCATTGTGGAATGGTTGCTTCTATATCAAAAAGTGCGAATAGCCTGAGGGCTGTCTTAACTGGGCTACAGCCAATTGATAGCAATCTAATTACACCCGGAGGACTGCCTGGGTGAGTGGTATCCCAGGGCAAACGTAAAGCCTTGTCATATGGTCTTGACATAGTGTTTGTTAATTTTAGCAAGCACTGGACACAATCTTTCATGGTGTATTTTTTCACCAATTTATTCAACCAATATTCATTAAAACGTGCATTATGAGCCAAGCGTTGTATTAGGTGCTCATTCAGTGTTTGTTGACTCAGAAGCAAGTTATGAATTAGTTGAGAGCTAGGAGAACAAAACCAAGTCGAAAATTGATTGCCTGAAATTCTCTTTGCAACAAAGCAGGAAGTCGATCGATTCATTCACTGGTGTGTTTCCTGGTCTCCCGGGTGCACTGTGTGCTCCACACTCCCTCAGGTCTCTGCTTGGGTCCTCTGACCACCAGCTCTATAAAGCCCCTCGGACCAGTCACTTCTCTTTTCCTGTGTTGCTTGATTTCTCTTCATTGCACTTTTCATTCTTTGCGGTTATCTTGCAGATGGAGTCCTGGCGCTGCCCATTGTCTGTCTCCTTAGAATGTGGTGGGAAGAAAGGGGGCGTATTTCACAGGGCTGGGCCTTTTGTTCCTTGCTGTTCAACCTGTTTATCTATCAGTGATAACTGTTGCCATTCCTGC